CACTTTTAAGAAAAGAGGAGCCTTTTCCAGAGTGGAAAACACTGGATATAAAAATAAGCTTAGTCATAAGGAGACATCTAAGCTCAGTGTGTATGGATTTTCCTTAACTCCTGATAAGGGCTTGAGCATTAATTGAATTTCATGGAAACATTTTAAGATGTTACCATCAGTCATGACTTTTTGATATTTTTTTGGTGGTATCATTTTTCACAAGACAAACTTCATGCAAGTGCATGCAAGCACAGATCTTGCTAAATGCCATTTCTTTTTCCTTCCTCTTAAAACAACAACAACACCCAGTCTTTAGTTACAGCCACATGAGACTCGGTAGCCCAATAACTGATCTTTGTGCATATCCCTTTTACGTTTGCCTTAGCATTTCCAGCTGCTGAGCTTACTGGAATTTGCTGCTGTGCCCAGCTTACATTGCACTTTAAGAGGTACCTCAAGAACATGTGAACAGAAACTAAACCCTCAGCTCATAGGCCCTTGTTTTTTTTTTTCAGATATTTTACCAGCTCCTGCCCTATCCTGAGATCTCATATTTTTTAACTTGAAATCAGCCATGATTGGAATATATACAACACAAAAACAGTAAAATTATTTGTGACTGGCCATGAATGGAATATTTATGACCCAGAGATTGGAAATCTTACAAATCAGTCCTTTATGTTTTCTGTAAGAGAGTTGTTAAAATATACCAGAACAAGGCTGGAGTTGTAGCTCAGTGGTAGAATGTAGAAGGAGGCCGCTTGTTCATTCCAGCTGCCAGGACCAAAATAACCACACAGAAACTATATTATTTAAAAACATTGTTTGAGCCATTAGCTCTAATTTCTTATTAGAGAACTCTTACATCTTAATTTAACCCATTTCTAGTAATCTGTGTATCACCACGTGGCTGTGGCTTACCAGCAAGATTCTTACCAGTGTCTGTCTCTGGCAGGGCTATATGGCTGCTCTCTGACTCTGCCCTTCTCTCTCCCAGCATTCAGTTTAGTTTTCCCTGTCTAACTCTATTAGTTTGCCCTATCAGGCCAAACCAGTTTTCTTTATTAATTAACCAATCATATTCAAAGAAAACAAAAAGGACTCCCACATCAATAGAATATTTGTTTGGTGTGACTAAGGTTTTGAGTTTTACTGCCAGTACTGCATGGTCCCAACCACAGCCTATGAGTGAATTGCCAATATGACCAGCAGTTCTTGTTGGCACACACCTTTCTTTAATGACTTAGAGCTATAACATTTGCCCCATATAATCAAATGACAGCTTAAATGATTACTATGAACACTGGAAATAATGGAGAACTTGTGTATATTTCATTCCTAGAAGAATTGAAGTCTGTGTTAGAAGGTAAGATGTGACCACAAGATTCTCTTTTTTATTTGACAGAAGAACTGAGAATCGCAAGTGCCGCAAGGCTTGTTTGGCAACAATTTGGGGACAGTGGGAATACAGAAAAGTTTGTGACATCTACAAGAAGGCACACTTCTTTCCGAGTCTGAGGAAGACTTCGTCTTTAATTGTGTAGAGTTGCCATAAAACAGACCACATGGGCAAGACTGAAACTCCTGTCTGTGAGAACTATATAAATAAGACGCTGAAAGCTGTTTGAAAGGGACATTACAGAGGAGGCACAGATGATAGAGTCTTATTCTCATATTCTCATGACTGATGTGATATGCTGAATAATCTCGGGTCATCCCTTGATCAGTCAGTTTGTCCGTTCTCAGAAGGTCTTTGCCTGATACTGTGTGAGTTTGGCAGGGAGGAACACCAACCAACTGTTAAAAAAAAAATCATCCAAATTCCTAAATAAAAGCTCCACCCAGCAGTGCATGGAGCACTTTGGTGTTCTGTTCTAAAATTAAATGTTTTTGCTCATCTAAGAGGAAGTAAACATTTCGCCGGTGTCTTATGCATGATTTCAGAGGCTAACATTTATCAGGATAATGTACTTCACTTCAGCATTTCCTGGTCACTGGAAGTGAAGTGTATCAGCAAAGTGCAACAGGCATGATGATCTTAAGCAGTGGGAAAGACGTTCAAGTGGGACACCCTGTTTACTGATGGGAACCTTAAGTACTTCCTCCACATCCTAGTGTAAACCCTGCAGATAGAATAACAGGAAGTTCTCAGGCCAGCAAAACATAGCACCTGCGCAATCTGTTTCGGTCAATCAGCCGAGGCTGGGACTGATGCAACAACTCCAGCATTTTCACTGAGTATTGAAAATCAGGCCAAAGTTAACATTTTTGTCCATTAATCATATGGGCATGGTGCTGTGTAAAAATAGTCAGTTTTTTTTTAAATTTATCTTATTTAAAATTACTGAAACATGGGCTCGAGGTAGAAGTTAATTGGGAGAATTCATGCTGACTTGCTGTGAATGAAGTCCTGTGTTCAACCTATCCCCAGGACTGCAGAAACCCAGAGTTGTGAAGGTGGTGGCGGTGCCATGCTCCTGCTATCCTTGCACCAGGGAGGTGGAAGCAGGAGGGTCAGAAGCTCAAGGTCCTCCAAGGTCCCATAGCAAGTTTGAGTCCAGCCTACCATTCATGAGATCCTATCTCAAAGTCAACAGAAATTACTTTCCCTGTCTCGAAACACCAAAAAAAAAAAAAAAGTAGAATTACTATAACAAATTATATAGTTGTCATAGCATTACCAGAAGTATAACTGGCAGAGTTTTTTCTTTTTTCAAAATCAGTGATCAGTGTGTTTTATTTGCATAACTTTATTTATACCTGACACTTGTCTGCTCTATATGGTTTTTTGTTGTTCTTGTTGTTCTTTTTGCAGTTCCCCCATTTCCTGTCAATGCTTAGAGAAAAAAAAAAATTAATCCCAACCACTCACCCAGCCACTGGAAGGCATCCTTCTCCCAAGCCTTCAAATTAGAATAATTTCACAATGATCCTGACAGCATTTACTTTGTCTGCTACTGTTTCAACTATTTTTCAAATATTATTTATTTACTTCTACTAAGAGCTACATGAAATAGGTATATACGTACACAGACACAGAAACGTGTATGCACATATGCTCACACAGGCACACATATTGGTTTAACATGATAAACAAATTAAATGTGTAAATATTAAGCACCTTTAAATTTTATTTTCAAATATAAAAGGACCAGACCACTCTCAAAGAAAATAATTGCAATTGTTGTTCTTTTAAGTGCTTTATTAATTCATGTAATTATTCTGACCTTTGAGAAATAAACATTAAGCAATGACTCTATGCTAATAGATGTTTTACATGAACATATGGCTTAGTAGAAGGTAATGGTTAATTTGCACATGAATAACAGGATTATCTTAATGATTATGAAAATTATGAAATTTATATTCTATAGTTTATCTTATTTTACATGTGTCAAGACAATCATTACTTAAGAAACAAAAATAGTATTTTCAGTAAATTCATTAAGATGAAATAGTAGATGAGATAATTCGCTTATTGCAAATCATTTAAACAAGTGGTTAGTAACATCAGATTCACGAGGCTCAATGATGGCTCTAATATTAGCATTGTCTTCACTATCTGTGATTTTTTAAATAAAACCATGGGAATAAAGACACCTCCATATTTACCAAAAGAACCTGGTTTTAAAACAAATGATACACAAGAGTCAAGACATCAACTTAATTAAGAAAATTAATCATTTGAAAACATTTTCAGTGACAAATGGTCACCTCTCTCATAGCCCAGAAGTCCCTACCCAACTCTAAGAAGCCATCGGCAGCCAGTGTCTCAGTAGGAAAGTGTTAGCACTGGGTACTTAGGCACACCATGCTCATGCAAACAATCCCAATTAAACTCTGGATCACACACACGCTCTCAACATAAAATAAAGAGGGGTAATGTTGGAAGAAGAAAAGGTTTAGCTGGTGTGAAAGTATAATAGAGAGTGTGCATGTTAAAACAAATTGATATAATTTGCAAAATTACCAAGGACTTAATTAAAGATAAACCAACAAATCTCTCTTTCCAGAGAAACAAGCCTCTCTTCTTTCCCACATGGTTTTCTAACCATCCCAGTTTTCTACTCCGTTCAAGCGTGGAGCCCTGTGAAAACTTGGCGCATCCTCTCTATTATCTCCCACATCGCCCCTACTTGCTTGTCGTCTAATGAGGGCTTTGTCTCCAAAATAGTAACTTTTTTTTTTCACCAGGTCACCTGGGGCATCTCACTGTGAAATACCACCACTCAATACCAAGGTGTCATGTCATCTTTAGCTATCTTCCATACCCGACAATGATGGCATTCCCTAGCCTCTGCCAACCTTCCTTGGTGTACTATATCTTATTTGTTCTGTGTGGAACAATTCTCTAGGTCTTCTCTTGTGGATCCTCTTCCTCGCTCCAGCCTCACATTGGTGTATTTACCAAGTCTTAATCATGGAACCCTTCTCTCCTCTAAGTCTGAATTCTTCTGTGCCACTTCCCATGACTGCAGATGCCAAATATATAGCATTACCTTCTGGTTTTAACTTCTAGTCTGGACTTCTGAACTGTTAGCTCTTGACTTGTCTATTTGGTTGACGAGCATATTCAATTTACTCTACCCAAAGATCACTACTAAACCGGATCTCTCATATCAAAACTCCTCCTCTCGCTTTTCTGTGAATTCATCAGCATTCACTTTTTTTTTTTAAACGTCAACATTTTCATGAGTAATTACTTAAGAGGATAAACCTTCGTAATGAATGAGAGCTGGACAGCGAGCAAGTGACTCAACTATATGAAATGAAAGCAGCTTCTCAGAAAACATCTAACGTCCTTGGAATTAATACCAAGGTTGTTGATAATTTTTCTAGGGTCACCTACTACCTTGGAGACCATGGGAAATGATTGGGCAAGAGGCTGTTTGCCTTTGGTATAGGATTACATTGTCAGACAGGGTGTGTGCTTTCCCAGAAAACTTTACTGTCACAGTAACAGAGAGCCCACACTTAAGAAGATCAGACTTGGATGAAGTTGTCCCAGCCCTGGGATGTCAGCACGAGATGGTTCAGTCTTCTGGGTCAATGTGATGTTTCGGGGGCAGCATGTGGCCACTTGGTAATTTGAGAGATTCTTGTGATCTAACAGGCTCCTAGAGCTGCAATCAAAAGACTGAGTTGTAAATGAGCGGAGAGAAAGGATATTTCTCCTGCCTTCTTGTTTTCTGTCAGTCCCCTTTGGCAAGCATCTCTACCAGGAGTAGGCATGGGAACCAGTTAAAGAAAGTGTCGATTCACTCGAGTAAACGCCAAGAACTCTGGCTTTTGTCTGTGCTGAATGTGTCCGGAAAGGCAAAAAAGAGCGAGATTCTGCTCTGGGGTTTCTCATCTCCATGGTGGTGTGGTAGGTGCTGACAGCCTCCGAGAGTGAACTAGAAGGGCACAGAGAAAAGAGCGTGAGATGTGTCCACTGCAGTCGTGGTGAAGATGAAGAGGTCCCAGGGTTTGGGTCTGTAACTAAGGTAAGAGCTTGGCATCATATACAAAGTGGTCTTAGCCTGAGTTACTCACTCATCTGTTCCTTTAAGCTCACGCTTTCTGCGTTCAGGCTTGTAATGGGCTTCTGCATCTTCCATGGTCTATGCAGTCATCTTTTATAACGACTAGGCCGATGACTGGGAATTCTTTTTTTTTTCTTTCCTATCATCCCTAGGGAGTACCGAACCAAACAGACTAAGACTGTAATGTGCTGTTTATAGATTTTTCTTTCTTTCTTTCTTTTTTTTTTAAGAGAGCAACATTCAGACAGAGGGAGACTAAAAGAGGAGTGACTTCACCGGTGGGATGTTATTTTTGCTGCTGGATGTGGCTGGTGTGGAAGAAGTGAGTCTTTAATTTCCTGTACAAAGAGGCATTCATAAAACAAAGCTATGCTGTACATCATTGTCACCCTTCCACTGCCTCCCGAGTGACAGCAAAAGAATATGAAGGGCTTGAAACTGTGCGATAAGGCCTGCTTCTGCAGTGGCTTTCTCACAGTTACTTCTTCACGGCTAGAAATATGGGGGTGGATTATGATGATTAGAGTATGTGCAGAAAGCAACCACTGGTTGTGAAGAGTAACACCCGACCCCTAAACATGGGAACCTGTTTAGGGACAAACGATCACCAGGCTTTCTAAAATTTAATGTTTACCTTCCATTAATTGCTTCTATTAATTACTTTATTTCAACTGATGCTATCGAGAAAATAATACTCAGGCTATCCCTTGTCTGCAAGTTTTCATTTCAATAGTAGAAAAAAAAAACAGAATCAGAAAGAAAACAGTTGGACTGTGTGGCAATTCTAAGGCTATTGTAGGTACAGGATCATGGATTTGGCAGTAAACATCTTATTGGCCACATGAATCTTTGCCTTCCAAAAGCTCCCTTTGATTCCCGTGAGTCTTTGAGTCATCCTAAGAACTCAGAGGAGGCTGAGACAGTGTTTGCAGTGCTCCCAAATGCTTACCGTCTAGTCAGAATTGACTGCTTAACAAGAGTGGCCTTTCCAAGTTTTTCAGTTTCTCCCCACCTCCTTCAGAAAAACCTTTAACAGTATCGGTCCCTAGATAGTATATAATCTCTATTGATACCGTACCTGGCACATAAAGACCACAAACTACATGGAGATAATTTCCATTAGCTCCATTTTCAAGAAGAGGGAGATTCTAGTGCAAAGAGTGACTTCATTTAATAGTTGAACTCAGTGTGATATTCCAACAAACAGCTCAGTTCCAAGAATCAAGAACATACACTTTGTTCTCAGCTTTGAGAAAAATATCAGCTAGTTGTGAAGACGCAGTAGGGAAGGCAGAATTTTAGAAAAGGTACTTGTAGCAGCATTATCAACTGTGATGTGTTGCTGCCATGGCTTTTGCTTCAATAGCTGTGTTCCAACCCTGGGCCTCATTCTGCTCATGGGCAGTATCTGTGGCCAGTGATGCAGCTGAGGTCAGGGATGGTATGTTGGGATGGGCTGGCATGAGGAAGAAGCACGGTGATTTAGGGCCAGGCACATTCTCTTCTGGGTAATGGTGTAATAAAGATTAACCACTTTATATTTTGATCTTTTAAGCTGGTTCATATCAAAGCATCCACTATTGAGTGAATCTGCCCAATAGCTTCATCTCTGATTGATATGTGATTATTTCAGGTCAGCCCTTGTTTGACTCAAGTACTTAAGCTCAGTATACAACTTCTGTTGTATTGACAGGACTCTGTTGCTCCGCAGGGCTCTCCAATTTAGTTTTTGTAATTACCTATTTTCAAAGAGTAAAGTAACTAGCCTGGGTTACGTGAAGTAAGTGGTCATGATGAGATTCAAATGCGAATCAGTCTGTCCATTACAATCAGTGCTGACTGGCAAAAGGGAAGACAATGTTGAGTTTGAGAAATGATGTATCTGCTGTATTAGGTGATTAGAACATGAGAAACCCTTCATAGGACACAGACGGTGTTTGTGTGTGTGTGTGTGTGTGTGTGTGTGTGTGTGTGTGCATTGGTACAGATACAGGTATAGATATAAAAAAAACACCAGAATTTTACTCATTTACAAGAGGCAGTACCTCTAGCCTCACAGGGGATCAGGACACCTGGAGCCCAAAAGCTACTGGCCCAGAATAATTTGTGGTTCTTGAGCATTTCCTGTAGCGTTTGTTTGTTTCGCTCTTTTTTTTAAAGACAGAGTCTCTTTAAGTACCTGCATCTGAACTAGAACCCATGATGTAGATCCCATTGGCCTTAAACTGCTAGCAATTCCCCTGCCTCTGTTTCCCAAGTACTGTGTTAATTAGTATGTGCTACCACATAGGACTTCCTGAGTTTTTCTTAATGGTTGCTCAGAAAATCCCAAATCACATGGGAACTGTTTCTTATCCTATTGTTGATTTGTTTTTAAGGTTTGAGCTACAGGCAGATCACAAAATTAAAAAAAAAAAAGAAAGAAAACAAGTCAACTAAACTATAAAAGTCAACACTGATCAAAAGCAAAGATAGCAACCAGGCAAGAAAGGAAGTGACATTTCCTGTTGATATGACAGCAAAGCTCGCAATTCTCCTTTGACATCAGACGATTCCAGTGCTTGGATCCTAATGAGATGATGAAGTCTTTGTGACACTTTTAATTTTAATCCTCTTAGACAACGACTCACAACTGTTCATCTCTTAATACTGCAGTAAATATTGTGTGCTTGTTGATGAAAACTTTGCCACATGAGACCCTTTAGCATCTTTATGTTAAAAGAGAACTTCAGAGTTATCTAGCCCAACTCCTGAACAAATGCAGGAAATTCCTCCACAAACCCTTTGATTACACAAATTTCAAACAAATAGTCTCGTGATGGTGTCTATTGTAAAAAATATTAGTGACAAAATATTCTTGTTGATAAAAGTATTAAATTTGTAGCCGTATACTTTCAGTAGGCAGTTCTTAGATTAACATCACAAAGCAGGACCTCTATCTCTGTTGCATATACATTTTTATATATGCACAAACGCACACACACACAAACTCATACATATAGTTTCCCATTTCTGCATGCAAGGGTGTCAGCTACTCAGATCAGAGTCATGTTTGGGAAAATCTAGGTCACCAAATAGAAAGCATAGTTGATGTTTGTTGGGTGATTTTTTTTTTCCTGAGAGATCATAACGAATGGACTAACACCCCTACTTAGATCATCCACGAACCAAAGAAATAATTCCATTCAAGTCTAGAAAAGTGAACTTATGTCTCTGTAGTTACTTCTAGTAAGAGGGATGGCTCAAAGGGCAGCTATACCACTGGGAGGTAGCTTGAGCATCTTGATGACCCCCACTAAGAAATCCCACCCCAATCAATTGCTTACATTATCAACAGTGATCATTGGAAGGAATCTGAAGGAGACCTGATGAAGGTCTCATGAGTTATGGCCCTTCAGTCTCCTTCTGTGGGGAATGTTAATAACACTGATCTTATGAGCTTCTCGTATGGATGGTTACAGCCACTCAGCCCTAGAGCAGTAATAGGCATGTCCAACCTATAAAAAAAAAAAAAACTGTTTCACTATGATAATTGATAAAGATTTTGAATATGTTTTTATATATTTTGAGTGTATATCTTAGTTTCTCCTTCATTCATTCTTTTTCTCTTGTTTCCAACTGTCATCATTACCATTACAGTGACTGCTTAAAATGCTTTCAATAGACCCCCAGATCTAAAATATCTCTACACTTCAACACATTTTTGTTACTTTCCCCAGAAATTCTTTGTGAATGAAAATCTATTTTTTTAATAGTTGCCTTGAATTTTCTGGGAGAGATGTTTTTCATTCTGTTTGCCATTGTTTCTTATATCTCAGTTTGCTTGCTCCATAGCTTGGGCTGAACTCAGATGAGGTTTTAGGGTCCAGCTTCTTTAATATCCCTGCCTGTGACCTCCTCTAAGCCCTACAGTTAAGGTCAATTTATCTCATGTGTAGCCCTTTCAGCTCCAGGTTCTGAGCTGGAAATTTCCTAGGATCTTGTTAATATAGCTCTGTAGCACATTTCTGGGGACAAAGATCAACAATCCTAGCAGTTAATTCTTTCCTGAACCTGGGTCTAAACTATAAGAAGTAAGTGTCCCATGACATGTCAATAATGATTCTGCTTCCAACCATTTCTTTGCTCCTAACAGTGCAAAGCCATCATGACATCCCAGAAGCATGCTTTCATGGAGACAGCATCTTTCCCACTTTGATATGAGGGTTTGATAGCGATAAAATATCTTTCTAATAACTGGTTCCTTTACTTCTCTGATCTTTCAGAATTTACCTCAATATCTGACTCCGGGATTTTATTATTAAGACCAATTAGAATTTGTGCTACATCTGGTACCCAATGTGGGGCATGAACCCATGACCTTGAGATTAAGAGTCTCATGCTCTACTGACTGAGGTAGCCGTGTGAGTGTCTCAGTGGCAAAGCACTTCCTAGCACAAAACCTTAGGGATAGAATGGGACGAGTTTTTCATACTCCTTTCCTCCCAATAGTTCCTGTTGATCCCAGAAAGTCTACCAAGCTAGTCAAACAGCAGTGCTGTATCTGAGGGAGGGGATGATATTGATGCCTAGTTTCCAGGGCTTCTGGGAAAAGAATCAAGCATGTTCCTGGACATGAATTGCCTGACAGTTAAGAAGTTCTTCTCTGACTGAGGATTGTATCACATTTTTGTACTGTCCATATGTGGCGATCCATAGACTCAACTTTGTATCTGGGACCTGTGATTGGATAAAACTTGCTAACCTGAATCTACTACACATTAAGCAGGGTCAGTTCTTTAAATTCCTTAACTCTGTGTTCTCCTTTCCTTGTCCTTTCTTAACCATTAAGCATATTAAAGCCCTGACAGTCTTTGCTCCACATACTGGTAAACAAACCCTGATTCTCTGGAAGAACAGGTGCTCTTAACTGCTGAGGCATCTCTCCAGACACACAAAGTTATTTGTTTTTATTTTATGCA